CGACGTCAATGACTGCACAAAGACAAAGATCCCCCGTATAGACTGTAACAGGCTGTTGCGGCAAGTGCTGTTAGCGAGCAGCACCTATGAAGGCCGCCACGGCACACGAGGGGGTGGGTGGCCAACACAACGCCCGGCCGCCTTTGTCTCCCTAGCGGGGATGTTTACACACCGCACCAGGTACTAATTTGAGGCTGAGTCGACCTAGGTGAGACCCAGGAACGATTCAGATAATCGTCACAGTGGTGTTGGCCGTGAGCGAGAATCGAACCCGGGTCGCCAGGTTCGTAGCGCAGCGCGCTAACTGCACAACACACGCACGTACACGGATCCCATCGTATGCGGTTGGTGTCATGTTGCATTTTGTTCAAAATGCAGACACTCGGGGGCTTATTTGCCAGGGTGGGGAGCAATTAGGCCGCGCGTGAAACAGCTGAAGACGGCAGAAGTCTCGTGGTTATGTAAGATCGGCCTCCTTGAAGGATATCAAACAAATGTCTCTCTCCCGCCAGCCTCACCAACGCCAGATGTGATTCTGGTATCTCCAGGGGGCAGGGTAATTGGAACGGTTAAGACATTGCACTGCGTGCACTTTAACCGAGATGGAAACTGCACAAAAGTACCGTGGGTGGGATTAAATTCTACTGGCGGGAGGGAGGGAAACGAAACCTCCACCTCCACCACCACCCAAAAAAGCGAAATAATTCCAAGCAACGTGCGAGAAGTAGCGGCGGGGAACAGGACGGAATCTGTAACGTTTGTATATTTTTGTTAGTTTTGTTTTAGTGCCCCCGTTTGCAGCGGCGGGTGCAGCAGAGATATTTAGAGAGAGAGAGAGAAAAAAAAAATGTATTCTGGCACTTCGTCGCGAGCAACGCACAGCGGGGAAACGCAGCGAGTGAGCCACCACTTGCGCAAGTCAGTCACCATCACCCTGGGTTAAATTTAAGCGGTGAAAGGAGAGACAGGGAGACCTGGGGGTGGGGGGGGGGCAGAGTGAGCCGGATAATCTCGCCATACTTTCCTCTCGCCAATCTCATGACTCTGCTCAAAAAGCTGTCGCTCCACCACCAATCTCTTTCTTTCTCTCTCTCTCGAATTGTTAAACGGGCACCTTTGATGGCAATTTCATCATCGTGGATTTGACAATTCGAACCGTATACTAGGATATAAGCTTCGAGTCACTTAAAAATGACGGTCGTCCGATTTTATTTTTTAAAAATTATTATCGTGGTCGCTGCGCAAAAAATCCGAACTGCCCAAAAAAATGCTGAGCGGCCAACAACACACATCACTATTCACGTTCTATCGATAACATTTAAAGACGTTTGTTGAACTGAGCAAGGTTACGATGACTTAAGAAACGAGTCGATGGGATGATTACTGATTGCCCAACGCTTTGGGAGTAAGCAACGCGACTGTTATCATATTTGGTGTGTTCGAAACAATGCCAACTGATTAGAGGTAGTTATGATTCCTCTATTCAAATGTACATGCGAGTGTGCCTCGTTACGCGCGCACGTTGAACTTCTTTCGCACCGTACGCAGCCAAACCGGCGCTAATCGAAAAGGCCAACAAAAATAACACCCAAACAAAAAAGTGAATTCTTCAAATAAACGTCGTGTTTCGCTTTAGAACATTGGGGGTTTTCCCCATCTTACGATTCGCCATAGAAAACGCGTCTAACGTTGGAGACGGAGCTCCATTTGGGATCGTGAACATTTGCGGGATCGTCAAGAGGTTGGCGACACTTCTCGGGGCCAGGGTCTTCATCCCCGCAGTGGAATTGATCAAGTCACTCGGTGTTTCACGTCGTACGGGACGGATTCGTGATATGCCCCCCTTTTGCCACTAGGGGCCGCCAAATCGTCGTACTGCGTAAATCCGACGTCGTACCCACCGCCTGTGTATGCAATTGAACCTTATGGCGGTGACCCCGGGGTATCCATAGTACCCCGGGCTCTCGCGTCGTGTCCGTGATGCAGTCATTTTTATTCTCTGTTGATGTTCGGCGATGCGGCAATCGACTCATATCGAGGAGCTGTACTCACGATGCACCACTACGGTGCAGTGCGAGCGTTCAGGGTTTCGGCGCGATCGTCCTCGCTGTGTTTCGACATCGCGGAGTGTGGCACCGATGTCGGATTGATTGGTTACCCCAGTCGCGGAGTGAAGCACACCCCTGGACTTAAAGAAAAAAAGTGTCCCAGAAATAAAACATTCAATTGGCTCGGCCCATTTTGTGTTATTTGGTACCCCGCGGTACCTCCATAAGGAGCGAATGCTGCATTTAACTAAACCTGTTGGCATGATGAAGTTTACCCTTTTAATTAATTGCCTTACGAATATTGATTTTATATATATGCAGTATACGGGTCCACAGTAGGCACGCATCGGATTTCGGCCGTCGTGCGATGGTTAGGTCGCTTTGCTTGACTTGCAATGGGGCGAGTTTCTTGAAGTCATCCCGCACACCTCACCCAACCTCCCCTATTGTTTCGATCCACCCAAGCAGTGTAACTGGGTTCACCACAATCTGGTCAATCGGCAGATCGCGCGTGGTGGTGGTGGTGGGGAAATGCGTGGGTAGACTTGACTATCGCGGAAGAGTAGGCCAATGCACGCGCACGGTTGGCTGCGTACGGCGCGAAACGAAGAGAGCGCTCCCAGGTCAAGGTCTGCGCTCTTTGATGGTGATCTGTGCTTTTAGTCAGCGTGGCACCCAAACTGTGGAACGCCTTGCCACTTGAAATGAGGCAATCGGAGTCGGTAGATAGCTTCAAGTCTGCTTTGAAAACCCCATCTCTTTATAAAGTGGCCTTCCCTCGTTAAATTGGTCGGTTGGCCCTGGGTTCTGCTTTTTATTTTCCTGCTTTTCGTGCATTACGCATTGGGATCCTCGGATGGAATGCGCATTATACATTTGTAATTATTATGATATACGTACACACAATATATCCACCAGAGCAGGCTCACCAGAGCTTCCCCTTTCCGCCGGCAGTGGCGTCAAGTGAGCCATTGCAGGGCCGCACCTTTACCCCTTACCACACGCCAGACGTTTTGACCGAGTGGAGGCTTTTGTTCGGCCATACTTCACCACGCTGGTCGTGTGTGGGTTTGTGAAGGCGTGGAACATAGCGGGCGGTGCAAACAGTGCTGTACAGAAACAGGAGTGGATGTTGCAGCCCTGCCCGCGGTGTTAGCCTGGAGCAGCCTATAGCACCTGTTTTTGCCTATGGTTGGTCGCCCGTAAATTCACTGACATGAAGGCACCCAAAAAAATCCTGCTCAGCTTCGCAAGATCAAATTTGGTGACGGGCTTGTTTAACAAATGCAACGCGCGGACACGCGAGATCCCACATCGTTCAGTGCGCATGCTGCGTCTGTAGAACTGGTTGGGACTCGCATCTTGACAGGGAGAACGGAGTAATTGCCTTTCTAAACATCTTCGTCGGCTCGCTGCAACTTGACTCGAAGCAGCAACAACAACAACAACGCTCCTGACTCAACACTCGAACGTTCAAACCCGATGCGGAGTTTCGCTCGTATATGAACCGATGCTGACGAATATATGGAATCACTCCCGTGAATGGGAGTGTGGGGGTCGGTGGATTGTGTCAACAGTTTAAACATTGTGTATACATATATACACAGTAATCGGAGACAGATATATGATACATTGTTTAACATATAGATTGCTGATGTTTATACGTGCTGCGTCTGTATTCACAGCGAGGCGTACAACACAATCGTGTGTCTGTATTTGTGTTCGTGAAACTACACACCGTTCTGACAATCTGTGATAATGTAAACGAAGCTTGGCACCCGAACAATGAATTGCACACGGATCCGTGTATTCATCTGTGTGCAATTGTCCTCATACGTGTATCTGTGTACGCATGAACAAGTATAGAGTTTTACATGTTATTTATATGCATATGAATTATGTATTATTACATGCATACCTGTCAAGCCCATATCAGAGCCCTACCTTATTAGAGACCAATTCAGACCTTATCGGTCACCCCGTGCCCCTTATAAATCTCAACGTACATCCTACAAAGTCCCATCACAAGGGAGAAACGCAACACAAATATGCAAACAAATAGAATAATTCCTTCCCGTATTGAAACGGCTGTGCGCCGTATGGACCTAGCAACTCAATTTCCCTGCTGCACAAGAATACGGGGAGACCCTATGGGTTGACGGTGTTGTACATGCATCTTATTTGGATCTACACGCGTATTGTAAGTCGTATGAGCACAGTGCAGATGTCTTATGACCCCCCCCCCCCCCCCAATTAATTAACCCCTAACATTTGTTTTCCCTTGCATATTAATTTATGATTCAAATAAACCCTTACTTAAAAAAACACACATTAAGTTTTAAAGAATTAAATGGGGAGTCACGAGACATATGGACCAGACTGTGTATACCTCAAAGCAATTGTGTGTACATATATCTTGACATTAATATAATGCAAAGTTTCATTATGTAATGTATATCTGTATGATATACCGCGTGTCATATGCAAATACTTAGGTACATTTGCAGATGTAAAACACATACATATACAAATGTATTTATTTTGTTACAATTAAAACTATATACTGCTCCAATGCATATCAACAAACATCACGGCACAGGTGTTGTGTTCAAAAGAATATTAGCTTTGTTTAGATAATCGCACGTTAACAATGGCCATTCAAATTCGTCATCTGCTTTTCTGCGTTTCACTTTGACAACATTGAATGGCAATATAATACTTGTGTGTGTATGTATATGCTTGGACGCTCCATTTCATAGCAACCGCGAACAAAAATATACTTATTTTAAACGTCAGACGACCAGCATCGCATGAAGGGATATAACCGCGTGCGGTGCAATTTTTAGAGCACGTACTTCAAAGCACCTATCGCCATCCAAGCATTCGTGTCCCTTACATTGCTCTCAGTAGCACGCGCATCGCGCAACATGCAACAGCACTGAAGCTACTCACGGTTCTCAAGAATTGAATCTCATCCTCTCCCTCTCCGCCGTCACCCATGGCTCTGTCTGGGCTTCCTGCGACTAGGAATCCAACCCAGGATCCCCACCCTGCTCGCCGGCTCCTCCGCTGTAGCTGCTGCTGCTACTGTTGCTTTGCGTCGTCCGGGTCTTTTCAAATAACTACACTAGAGACTCATAATGCTGCTGCTGCTGATGTAGGTGGTGGTGGCGGTGGTGGTTGGACCCGGGACTGACGTCTCAAGAGGAACGTGTCAGTGCGAGAAGCTGAGACGGGCTGAGCAGGTGCAGCGATGCAGCTGCTGGAAAAACCGGATTGCCCTGTGTGCACACACAACCCGCACGCCTAAGCCACCCCATCCAGACACTGCCTACACCATTCATGCACGGCGGTGGTGGCAAACGATGGAGTTGGGTGGTGGGGGGACTGACATGAATTTCACACAACACGCGTGCGCACACGTGTGGCAAAATTGACTCGGCCATTGTGTATTGTGTGCAAAAACAAAAAAACCCACAGGTAATTCTTTAACAATTGCTGTACTGTGGGCCTTCTTGGCTGAAGTGACCATCAAATGGGATTGAGCAAATGTGACTGACAGACAGGCGGCAGTGAGGGAACTGTGGTCCGGCTTCATGCACGTTTATTTGCGTCGTTTAAAATGTATGCTTTAATGGCCTGCAGCTGATGGGTTTTTTCTTCTTCTTTCTGTTCTAATGGGGTTTCTCACCATTTACAAACTCAGCTCGCCAACGTGAAGTGCACACGCAGCCAGCCACTGCAGCATTCGTTATTTCAAGAGGCAATGGTGGTAGTGGTAGAGGCTCAAAGAGCCGACATGCTGTGCAATTTGTGTAGATGCATTGCGCGCAATTCGCGACTGTTCCTGGCTATTATACATTCAGAGTTTAACTACGAGAGCCTGTCTTGAATGCAACGTATGTGTGGGTACATCATATCTTGTGGCATGGAATAGTGGTCCAAACAGTCGCTCGAGACGCCCTGTAGAGTTATCTCTCGACGAGGCCTTTCGACCAGCGGCATCGTGAGCGACCACGGATATTCAGGAGTCATTTTTTTGCGTGCAGCAATGTTGAACTTCTTTCGCACGTGGTGCGGATATTGACACGGAATTAGGAAGATGCACGGCTGCTTTTTGGGGTCAGATCACGTGAGTGACGTGTGTCGTGCCTGACCCAAAGATTCAATTGAGAATGATATTGGGAAAACTTGGGGATGGTTCGCGGTTCGTAATATGAGGCCGTCCATAAATGACGTCACGCACCTAGGAGGGGGAGGGGATCAGACATTTGTGACGATGTGTGACGAGGGGGGGTGTTTGAGAAATGTGACGTCACATCAAAATGCGCAACTTTAAATAAATATAGACAACACGTTCTACTTAATTAAATCGACTTTTTAATAAATGTTTTCTCCTACAACATCAGAGTGCAGCGGCACATTAAATACGCACTACAATGACAATAGTTTAAAGCGATTTGAAGCATGTTTTATATATTTGGGGGGGGGGGGAGGGGCAGAGCTTTATGACGTCATATTTGAGGAGGGGTCTGTCTTTTTGTGACGCCGTGTGACGATGGGGGTAGGGGGGGGGGTAAAAAAATCGTCAAAAAATTCGTGACGTCATTTTTGACGTCCCCCGTGACAACCGCAGCCTTTTTTTGTTTTACGTTAGCCAACACCTAGAGCCAAACATTCAACAGGGAGTATTTTTAATGTAAAATATTACTTATATTTTATAGTGATAAATATAACTTGGACGGTAAATGCATAGAATTAAAAGAACACAACGCAGTGTGCAATACTGTACAGGCTGGTCCAGATGTCCTGTATCCCCCCCCCCTCCAAATGAACTGACCCCTTACATGTTTTCCTTTGCTAATTCATTAATGTGTTTAAACACATTCCTGCGGAGGGAGCTGGTAGGAACGTTGGGTTGCTCGGTCAATGGCCAGGGTCAACAACGGCGGCACCACGTGGTGTATTCCGCAAATATGCCCGACTGTGAGGGCGGGCACAAGCCGGCGTGAGTAGGTTAAACGTTGAGTTTTATAAGGGCACCACGGGGTGACCAGCCCCTCCCCACCCAGTCCCACCCCTCCCACCACCCCCCACCCAGCCCCACCCTCCCTACCCAGCCCCTCCCCACCCAGCCCCTCCCCACCCAGCCCCTCCCCACTCTCCCCTCTCCACCCAGCCCCACCCCTCCCATTTTTGGATGCACGACGGACGGACACAACAATCCCCTGTGGGCTGGTGTAACCAGGAGGTTCCTACCAGTATAACCCTTACTTTATATATTTAATAACCCCCCCCCCCCATCTACTCAGTTTTTAAATAATGAAATGGGGGGGGGGGTCACAAGACAACTGGACCGCCTTACAACTCTATACGGGAATCAATCAAAATCGCGTGCGGCCGAACCTCGCCGCCGCCGCCTCCTCCCTGGAGGCTGTTAACACCGCGTGGCCCGGCACCCGCGGTGGGCCGCTTTGGTAGACGAGACGACGCCGCGTGTTTTCTTCCGCGGCAACAGCGGCAGCATCAGCATCATCATCGCGAGCAGCACAGTTTGGCACGGGGCGAGCGATCTGCGACCTCTGTACGTCAGTCATCTCAGGGTCAACTCAGGCACGAAGCCGCAAAACGCCGCGATGGCTAAACCCGCGATAGCGAATGTGTGTGTGTTTCTTTAATTTCTCTCTCATCCCTGTGTCACGATACGGTTTAGAATCACGCGCAAGTCAATTACACACGGCAATTCCTGCTGTTAAGAATAGTGTGGGCTTCGGCAGGACACGTTGCCCGAAGGAGTGACGGCCGATGGTCAAGAATAGCCGCACACACAAGTGGCGGCCAAGGAATGGCACGCACCCTCGGCAACACGTCTACCAAGGGAGATGAAGCAATGAAATTATCTCCGGCGTACACATACGATGGAGATAGATGACAACGTAACAGGATTGTGGGATCGTCAGCCATGATCGATTCACTGCTGGTTTAGCGATGAAACGTGGTTCTGGGGGCTTGTCTAGGGAGACCTGTGTTGTGAATTATCAAAAAAATTGTAGCTGAGCAATCAATCCACGATCACCACGTGCTGTTTGAATGTATAAACAACAATTGCCGACTGCATACCGTGTCAACCCGTACGGTTTATCCGTGTTCTTGTACAGGTCCATGCTGCATACAGCCGCATGAATACGGGCAACACATTTGTTTAGCTTATTTGTGTTTCTCCCCTTGCGATGGGACTTTGTAGGGTGAACGTTGATATTTATAAGGGGCACGGGGTGACCAATAAGGTCTGAATCGGTCAGTAATAAGGTAGGCATTGATAAGCGGTTGACAGGTATGGGGCTGTCCATAAATGACGTCACGCACCTCGGGGTGGGGGGGGGTCAGACATTTGTGACGATGTGTGACGAGGGGGGGGGGGTTGAGAAATGTGACGTCACATCAAAATGCGCAACATTAAATATATATAGACAACACGTTCTACTTAATTAAATAGACTTTTTGATAAATGTTTTCTCCTACAACATCAGAGTGCAGCGCCACATTAAATACGCACTACAATGGCAATAGTTTAAAGCGATTTGAAGCATTTTTTATTTTCAAAATGGAAATATGGTTTTGGGGGGGGGAGGGCAGAGCTTTGTGACGTCATATTCGAGGGGGGTCTGACTTTTTGTGACGCCGTGTGACGAGGGGGGCGGGGGGTCAAAAATCGCGTGACGTCATTTATGGACGGCCCCTAAGGGGCACGGGGTGACCAATGAGGTCTGAATTGGTTTGTAATAAGGTAGGGCACTGATAAGGGGTTTACAGGTGTAGTGTTGTAAGGACGAGCAGACTTCTTTAGGAGGCACACTCTGTTTATTGTATTATTTCCTTATACAACGCTTAACACACAGAGGGATATTCGGTCCCCTCACCCGATACCCTAGGGAGGTACAGCCTCCGGACCTGGCGGGACTCACACGTCTACCGCTAACCTCCTTGATACCTAAGGAGGTACAACCTCCGGACTTGGCGGGACTCACACGTCTACCGCTATCCTAGTCCTCCGGCTAGGACCTAGGGGAGGCTATCTGACCCACCGCTGGCCCGGTGGGTCCTGACCACTGGGTATGCCGAGCCTTAGCCCTTAGAAGGGCTGAAAGGCTGGTCCAGGGTCCTAGCTAGGCTTCAGCCCAGTCTTCTATCTTCGGGCAGGGAGAGAACTTCCCGAGGTCCGTTGGGTCACCCGTCTTATACCCCTTCGTGGCCAGGTAGAACCAATTATACATTCCCACGTGGAACCGTCTGATTGGTTCGCACCAAACCCTGGCCACGATCCGTTTCACCTCGACTGACCCCAACCGTTGTACCCAGGGGTAATGCTGCACTGCCCTGGTGGCAATGCAGGTTACGCAACAGCGCGTAGTTAACACCTCTACACAGGTATGCTACTGCCCTTGCCGAGATGAACACCAACGCTTCAATGGACATGTCTACCAAGTAGAGTTTGCCATTTCGATCTTTAACGCTTTCCAATGAAGCTTCAAAGCGTTCATGTGTGAGCTCGGTCTGCCGTGTGCACGTTGGACTTCTTTCGCACCGTACGTAGCCAACCCTGCTAATCGGAGGTACGGTGGGGGGAGGGGTCAACGCTTTGCGCTGACAACCGCGTGTTGGAAAGCGTCGTAGAAAACAACGGCTGTGCACGATTTTTCTCGGTCGTTGCTTATTACCTTCTACGATGAGAGACGCTGATTGAGAAAAGCATCGATTTGAGCCTTTTACAGAAAACATCAAACGAATGAAGAAGGCTGCAAAGTTGGACTCAATACCCCGTTTACTGGAAAACACGACCCCGTTTACTGGAAAACACTACCTCATTTGCTAGAAAACACTATCCCATTTACTGGAAAACACGACCCCGTTTACTGGAAAACACGACCCCGTTTACTGGAAAACACGACCTCATTTACTAGAAAACACTATCCCATTTACTAGAAAACACGACCCCGTTTACTGGAAAACACTACCCCACGTACTAGAAAACACGACCCCATGTCTTGAAAACACTATCCCATTTACTGGAAAACACTACCCCACGTACTAGAAAACACTATCCCATTTACTGGAAAACACTATCCCATGTCTTGGGAAACACTACCACACGTACTAGAAAACACTATCCCATGTCTTGGAAAACACGACCCCACGTACTAGAAAACACTATCCCATTTACTGGAAAACACTATCCCACGTACTGGACAACACT